TTTTTTAATTAAATATTGTTATTATGTACATTAAAATTCTATCAAAAAATGCATTATAAATAAAAGCTTAATATATTAATATACTTTGACATAGTCACATGAAAATATAATACTAAATAATATTTAAAAGAAAATCCACTCTGACTTGATAAGTTTATAAAAACTGAATACAATATGTGAAAATGAGAAAATAAACTTACTACTGCCACGTTTCTTTATCTTTGGGGAATAAGTTTCGTCAGAATCATTGTCATTATTCACTATAGTATGGTTTTGATGCACGATTTTCTTTTTTACAGATTTTTGTTGTTCATCTGTTACGCTAAGAAATTTCGGTAATTTCCTTTCTGTTCGTAATAAAGAAGGCTTACGTGAACTTATCATACATGTTTCGGCATCGTTTTCCGATTCTGCACTCGAAGTATCTTTGTTTGTTTCTTGCATCTCTTCCTCTTCTGTTAATAATAACACAATATTATGATAATTATTATATATGTATATATATATGTAACCAATTCTTGAAACTAAGGGCTAATATATGCTACAACCGCGGACGTCGATGCATAAAAATTGAGTAAAGCAGAATGAACACAATAATGAAACGTATTCTCAATTTGAATCCATTTCAATGAATATATCATATTCATACTTTGATTTAATAGGTTCCAAACGTAACGTTTCATTGTTGCATTCATTATTACTACTTTTATTTCTACACAGACATCCATGATCGTGGCACACATTAGCCTTAATTTCATAAGTTTTGGTTTATACGGACTTTTGTCTGATTTTTTCTTCTAATTAAATAGATATATTAAGAATGCAGAAAAGTTTAAAAAAGGAATACAATAATTAATATATTTTATACAAAAATTAATATATAAAAAGTACTTGTGGCATATATATAATAAGATAAATAGTGTATATACCTGAATCACTATTATTAGATTGCTGTTGCTCATTTTCACCTAATGCTGCTTCAAGAAATTTCGTCATACGAACTATCTCTACAGCTGCTATTGACTGTCGATAATGGCGTTTATGAATTTTCTCGTGATGTCCCATAAAGTTCGCCAAATCATCCACTTCATTGTCAGATAAATTTAACGTAATGCATGTTGTAGCAATATGTTTACGTAATTCAGTACCTCTTAAAAAATGTGGTATTTGTGCATCACATTTTTTAGAAAAATATCGCATAAGGATACACGCTCTTAAATATTTGAAATGACGTTTGGTACTACTAGGTATGCCAAACACATACGGATTTTTCTCAGGAACATTTGCATCCTTTCGCTGGTTCAAAATTAGTTCAACACATTGAACTAATACCATGTCTAAAATCACAGGCACTGTACGTCCCAATTTTCCACGAATTAAGAATCTTACGTATTTATCAGCAACCTATATACAAAAGTTATATATGGATTATTATTTTGCATCATATACCATATTGTGTGTAATTTAATTATAATATTTGTAAACAAATAATATTTATACATAATATTTATAAATAAATTTATCATATTTAATACTTTGTGTAACATCATCTTTCCTCAAAACTGGGAATAAAAATTTTCTTACTGTCTCAATTGCACATTCATGAATTCTGCCCATCAAAGCACGTCCTAAAACTTGTACATTTCTGCCTTTCGATTTTCCTACACATTCTTTAAAATGATGCCTGATATTATTTTTAGTGAACCATCCTTTACACTTTGCGCAACTTATAAAATCTTGTACTGTTTTGCAACTATTTTTGGCAGGCCTTCGACAAACAATTAATTCTCCCGTATTTAAGAAAGGATCCGTATTATGTATGAAATTCCTTTTTTTTCTAATAGACTCTATAATTTGTTTTCTTTCTAAATTACCTGCAATGAGAATATTAAGTAATGTATATATAATGTAAATAATGTATATATAATGTAAATAATGTATATATAATGTAAATATATTAATAAAAATTATAACATATTAATATATTATATTTAACAAATAATCAATATTTATAAAAAAATATACTATAAACTTAAATAATTATACAGAATTGAAAAATATGATCACCTTTTGGTAATAATACAAATTTCTTTACTTCAGGTTCCAATTTATGCACGTTTTCTAAATGACGTGCAATTTTACTCTGAAACTTTTTGCAATAGTAGCAAAAATTTTTTTTTTGATGTCCCTTAGGTTGAGAAAATGGAACATATAAATTGTCTTCTCTACAACCAAATGTATTGATAGAAGAAAGATCTATCAGTGATTCTGAAGAATTTTTATCATTAGTTGCAGATACTTTATTGCGGAAGCTTTCATGTTCCGTAATTTCTTTGTCAATTGTAATTTCCAATGCTGAAGGTACATATTCCAAAATACTTGATGAGTTTGCAGAAGCAATATTGTCATTAATATCATCACGGGAAATCATATTATTATCACTATCATTACTTAATGTGTTTGCACAAGCAATGTTGTCATTAATATTTTCATCATCACAGGAAATCATATTATTATCACTATTATTATAATTTATAGAAGCTTTGGCGTTAGTGAGATCATTTAACATAATAGAATTATTATCATCATTAAAAAAATATATCATGACATCTTTGAGAACAATACCCGTTTCAGACACATTGAAATTATCATTATCACAGGAAAATGTAAGATTATTATTATGAGAATTATTACTGTTCATAAAATTAATATCAATATCAGTATTTACATAACAGTTATCATCATCACAAGAAAGTATCACATTATCAAAATCAGTATCATTTGCAGAATTGTTAGCAGTAATAGTACTATCTACTACATTATGATTTCTGTCATTACAGGAAAATGTAATGTTAAGTTTAGTAGCATTTACTCTATTCTGTTCATTATTAGACTTACTAGAAATTATCATAGCATTATCACAACCAACAATTTTGTTAGAATTATTAGTGATGCAACCTTCATCATTTATTGCATTGTGATCATGTTCATTAGAACATGATATATCAATATTAGGATCATTATCATTCGCAGAATTATTGATATCACTATGTACTGTTTTGCAACCATTATTGTTCTCATAAGAAAGTATCACATTATCAAAATCAGTATCATTTGCAGAATTGTTAGCATTAATAGTACTATCTACTACATTATGATTTCTGTCATTACAGGAAAATGTAATGTTAAGTTTAGTAGCTTTTACTCTATTCTGCTCATTATTAGACTCACTAGGAATTATCATAGCATTATCACAACCAACATTTTTCTTAGAATTATTAGTTTACACAATATTCATTTAATCATGCAGTTATTATATGTATCATACAGTGATTCATTATGTTACATTAGAAAATGTCCCGTTGATTATCGATTTTCATAACATATTGTCTATTCTGTCTTATTATATTATAATTATTCTACATTATTAGTTACACAATTTTCATCATTTATTGCAGTGTGATCATGTTCATTAGAAAATGTCCCGTTGTTATCAAAATCAGTACTATTCGCAGAATTATTGTCATTAATATTTTCTACAATGCTATCATTTCCATTATTATCGGCATTATTATTTGTAAAATTATCAGTATTACCAATAATTTTCGTTTTAAATCCGTTATTAGAATCAACGTGTTTTATAAGATAATTGATGTTACTTTGATCATTTGCATTGTGGCCTTGTTCATTATAAAGAAATGATACTACATTATTGTCAAAATCAATAGCATTACTTAAATTGTTAGTATTAGTATTCTTTTTAGTATAATTCATATTGATAATGCAAGCATCTTGTGGTATTTCTGTAGTTTCTACAAAAAAAGTATAATTACTGTAAAAAATAGAAATGCAATATATTGCATGTAGTTTTAGAATTATAATACTATAATACTTACTATTATTATTATTGACAATTAATTTTATGTTTTCCAGAGCAATACGTGGATTATTTGTATTTAAACTTTTAGCAATTGCAAGAATATCATTTTTATTTTCTGTAACAATAAATATAGTAATTTCAATTATTTATATATAAATAACCACAGAAATTAACGCGTTGATGCAAGAATTTAACTGAAAAGAAAATTAAAAAGCAGTGCTGAGTAAAAACTTTAGATTTTTACGACTTAAGTTAATATTAACCTGTTAAAAATCGAATAAAAAGGTTACGTGCTGTTGTGCTCAATATTAACAATATTATTGCAATGTAAACATTTTATATTATTTTAAATAAATATAGAATGGTGATACTTACTATTCTGTGCAATTGTACGTATAATACATGTTTTTTTACGATTCCTAACTGGACATTTTACGCGTCTTCTCTTGTGTTTTATATTTACATGATATTTATGATAATTACAAAAAAATAATATATATTGTGACATTTTTCACTTAATGTGATGCAATCGCGTACAAACGAAACGAAACGATTTTCATTAAATGTAAACCGAAATCTTATATATATTACGCAATATCTTATGCAATATTGCTAATAAATATGGAAGGTGCCGGTCCCGCCAAATTATAAGTTTGTTCGCATAGCAGGCTCTCCCCCAACATACTTCTCGCTCCAATGCGATCCTATTGGATTATTTGGATATAAAGATGCTTTTATATGATAGCATCAAACGTGTCGGCGTAAAAACTCATTGCGCAAATGTTAAATAAAATAGATTTCAGCTTCTTGCTGCTAATAATAAGATGAATCATACGAGATCATACGATGAATAAGTCGAGATCAAATGAATATTAGCACATATTAGTACTGAAAATTAATATAATATTAATTATAATCATTATATTTATTATATTTATTAATATTATTAGCCACAAGAAGTTATTTTTTATCTTATGTGACATCTGCGCAAACGTAGATGCTTGACGCTTGATGCTAGCATGTAAAGGCACCTTTATGGCTCCTGCACACCAGCGCGATGACGCGACACGCGATGCGCGATATCCAATGAGCGTGCAGCTTTTCCGCACGTCATATCCGTCGCACTATAGAGTGCGACATCGCAAAAAAGTTGACCAAGTTTGAAGATTTGTAGCGCGCGACGAGCGATTTACTGCGATCCTATCTATAGATGCGATGTCGTTATAAACAAAGAGGATCTCTTTGGTTATAAATAAACGTGCAACGACATCGATCCGAGAGTGATATTGTCATTAAATTATAAAATTGCAATAAATGGTAAATATGCAATAAATGATGTTAGGTTTCGTAATCGCGCATCGCGTTTATATGAATAGGTAGAAAATCCTATTCTCGCGATTCGTCGCATATCGCGTGTCGCGTCATCGCGCTGGTGTTACTGAGACTGAGAGAGAGAGAGAGAGAGAGAGAGAGAGAGAGAGATTGCGGTGGAACGAGTTAAACAGTATTTAGATCATGTGCCGACTGAAAATACAATGGGCACTAATCAACCTTACGCGTGGCCTAGTCAAAGTGTTGTGGAATTAAAAAAGTTGTTTTGATGTACAGGTAATATTTTCAAATTTTTTGATAAAGATAATGCACGATTGTAACATTTGGTAAAAGAAATTTTTGTAATTATATTCGCAGGAACCATTTAGTGCCATCGTTGAAAGAGATAACATTCGTTACTCGACCAGCGGAAAAAATAGACGTCGTTGGTCGCACCGGTGCTGGAAAAAGTTCGTTACTAGCTTCGTTGTTTAGACTGACAGAGATCAGTTCTGGGAGTATATTAATCGACAACGTGAATATTCAAACGTTACAACTGAACACATTAAGGTATTCATAAACTTGCAAAAAATAATCATTGTATGTTAACAGTTGTAAAGAAAAGAAAAACATTCCAGATCCCGTTTAGCAATTATACCTCAGAATCCGTTTCTTTTCTCGGGTACTAATCGAGAGAATGTGGATCCGTTGGATCAGTATACCTATATGCACATATATACAAAACCTTCGAGAAATGTAAAGTGCATTCTTTAGTTCATCGAATGGATGGTTTGGATGCAGTCTTGGATGAAGGTGGTAGTAATCTCAGCACTGGGCAGAGACAATTGTTCTGCTTAGTCAGAGCTGTGCTACACAATGCGAAGGTACTTCTTATCTGTAATATTCAAGAAAGCAATTGTTCCTGTATTAATGACTTGATATTTATTTATCTCTGTGAAATTAGTCTTTTTTTCTTACTTTCTCATTTGCTTTGCTTTTGAATAAAAAATTCTTAAGTACCTCAAATTGAAAAATTATCTTCGTAAATCCAATGTTTAATTATGGGTTCTATGTAATCCCTCATGGATTCTAACAATTATTATTAAGAAACTAGAACTAAGAGTGTAAACATTTTCTGCAATTCTTCTGAAGATAAATATTTCAAAATTAATTTAAATAATTTTTTTTAATTTGCATTTTTTTACATAATGGGAAATGTCGTTAAGTTATAATCTTTTAGGTATTCAAATTTTTAAAAATTTTTGTAATTATTATGTGATAAATATAAAACACAAGACGATACACATTAATTGTTCAGTTAATAGGAATTTTAAGAAAAACATGTATTATATGTATAATTGTACAGAATAGTATCATTATTATATATTTATTTAAAGTAATATAAAATGTTTTCATTGCAATAATATTGTACGTATTAAGTGCATACAACAGCACATAACATATTAATTTGATTTTTGGGAGGTTAATATTAATATAAATTGTAAAAATTCTAAAGTTTTTACACAGCGCTTTTTAATTTTCTTGTCAGTTAAATTCTTGCATCAATGCGTTAATTTCTGATTACTTATATTTAAATAATTAAAATTACTTTATTTTTATAGAAAGTAAAGACGATTTTTTGGATATTGTTAATAGTTTAAATACTTTAAATAGAAATAATCCACGCATTGTTCTGAGAGACATGATCACAAAGCTTAATATATTAATATACTTTGACATAGTCACAATTATAATACTAAATATAATACTAAATATAATACTAAAATATAATACTAAATATAATACTAAAATATAATACTAAATATAATACTAAATAATATTAAAGAGAAAATTTACTCTGATTTGATAAATTTATAAAAACTGAATAGAATATGTGAAAATGAAAAAATAAACTTACTACTGCGATGTTTCTTTATCTTTGGGGAATAAGTTTCGTCAGAATCATTGTCATTATTCACTATTGTATGGTTTTGATGCATGATTTTCTTTTTTACAGATTTTTGTTGTCCATCTGTTATGGTAGGAAATTTAGGTAATTTCCTTTCTGTTCGTAATAAAGAAAGCTTACGTGAACTTATCATACATGTTTCGGCATCGTTTTCCGATTCTGCACTCGAAGTATCTTTGTTTGTACCTTAATTATTATATATGTATATATATGTGTAAACCAATTCTTGAAACTAAGGGCTAATATATGCTACAACCGCGGATGTCGATGCATAAAAATTGAGTAAAGCAGAATGAACACAATAATGAAACGTATTCTCAATTTGAATCCATTTCAATGAATATATCATATTCATACTTTGATTTAATAGGTTCCAAACGTAACGTTTCATTGTTGCATTAGCCTTAATATCATAAGTTTTGGTTAATAAGGACTTTTGTCTGATTTTTTCTTCTAATTAAATAGATATATTAAAAATGCAGAAAAGTTGAAAAAAGGCATACAATAATTAATATATTTTATACAAAAATTAATATATAAAAAGAACTTGTGGCATATATATAATAAGATAAATAGTGTATATACCTGAATCACTATTATTAGATTGCTGTTGCTCATTTTCATCTAATGCTGCTTCAAGAAATTTTGTCATACGAACTATCTCTATAGTTGCTATTGACTGCCGATAATGGCGTTTATGAATTTTCTCGTGATGTCCCATAATCTAATAATAGTGATTCAGGTATATACACTATTTATCTTATTATATATATGCCACAAGTTCTTTTTATATATTAATTTTTGTATAAAATATATTAATTATTGTATGCCTTTTTTCAACTTTTGTGCATTTTTAATATATCTATTTAATTAGAAGAAAAAAGTCCTTATAAACCAAAACTTATGAAATTAAGGCTAATGCAACAATGAAACGTTACGTTTGGAAATTATTAAATCAAAGTATGAATATGATATAACCATAAAGTTCGCCAAATCATCCACTTCATTGTCAGATAAATTTAACGTAATGCATGTGGTAGCAATATGTTTACGTAATTCAGTACCTCTTAAAGAATGTAGTATTTGTGCATCACATTTTTTAGAAAAATATCGCATAAGGATACACGCTCTTAAATATTTGAAATGGCGTTTGGTACTACTAGGTATGCCAAACAGATACGGATTTTTTTCAAAAACATTTGCATCTTTCGCTAGTTCAATATAAGTTCAATACATTGAACTAATTCCATGTCTAAAATCACAGGCACTGTACGTCCCAATTTCCTACGAATTAAGAATCTTACGTATTTATCAGCAACTATACAAAAGTTATATGTGGGTAATTATTTTGCATGTATATACCATATATATAATTTAATTACACGCACAAATAAAATTTATAAATAAATAATAGTAATAATAATTTTTAGCTGCTGTAATTTTGTGCCTAATGATTTATATAAATTTAAATGGGTCTTTTTCGTTATACCTTCGCGAGTATTAAAATCTTCAATAGTAACCCGTTCTATTTTTCCTGCTCTTCTATTAAAAACTTGCATTGATATAACTGTTGCAAGTTCTAGCCATGTTTCGTATTTAAATTTCTTCTGAAGTTTTGCATACAATAATTTTCTTTCGTTATTTAGATATGAGTGTAATTTTTTTATGTCTTCCATAGATGGAAAGACTTTTAGCTTACTTTTAGCTTAACTTTTCTAATAATTTTTAGCAATTGCCAGACAATCATTTTTATTTTCTGTAACAATAAATATAGTAATTTCAATTATTTGGATATAAATAATCAGAAATTAACGCGCTGATGTAAGAATTTAACTGAAAAGAAAATTAAAAAGCAGTGCTGAGTAAAAACTTCAGATTTTTACGACTCAAGTTAATATTAACCTGTTAAAAATCAAATAAAAAGGTTACGTGCTGTTGTGCTCAATATTAACAATATTATTGCAATGAAAACATTTTTTGCAACTATTTTTGGCAGGCCTTCGACAAACAATTAATTCTCCCGTATTTAAGGAAGGATCCGTATTGTGTATGAAATTCCCTTTCTTTCTAATAGACTCTATAATTTGTTTTCTTTCTAAATTACCTGCAATGAGAATATTAAATAATGTATATATATAATGTAAATATATTAATAAAAATTATAACATATTAATATTATATTTAAAAAATAATCAATATTTATAAAAAAATATACTATAAACTTAAATAATTATACAGAATTGAAAAATATGATCACCTTTTGGTAATAATACAAATTTCTTTACTTCAGGTTCCAATTTATGCACGTTTTCTAAATGACGTGCAATTTTACTCTAAAACTTTTTGCAATAGTAGCAAAAATTTTTTTTTGATGTCCCTTAGGTTGAGAAAATGGAACATATAAATTGTCTTCTCTACAACCAAATGTATTGATAGAAGAAAGATCTATCAGTGATTCTGAAGAATTTTTATTATTAGTTGGAGATACGTTATTGCGGAAGCTTTCATGTTCCGTAGTTTTTTTGTCAATTGTAATTTCCGATGCTGAAGGTAGATATTCTAAAGTACTTGATGTGTTTGCAGAAGCAATATTGACATTAATATCATCACAGGAAATCATATTATTATCACTATCATTACTTAATGTGTTTGCACAAGCAATATTGTCATTAATATTTTCATCATCACAGGAAATCATATTATTATCATTATCATTATAATTTATAGAAGCTTTGGCGTTAGTGAGATCATTTAAGATACTAGAATTATTATCATCGTTAAAAAAAATATCATGACATCTTTGAGAACAATACCCGTTTCAGACACATTGAAATTATCATTATCACAGGAAAATGTAAGATTATTATTATGAGAATTATTACTGTTCATAAAATTAATATCAATATCAGTATTTACATAACAGTTATCATCATCACAAGAAAGTATCACATTATCAAAATCAGTATCATTTGCAGAATTGTTAGCATTAATAGTACTATCTACTACATTATGATTTCTGTCATTACAGGAAAATGTAATGTTAAGTTTAATAGCCTTTACTCTATTCTGCTCATTATTAGACTCACTAGGAATTATCATAGCATTATCACAACCAACATTTTTCTTAGCATTATTAGTGACACAACCTTCATCATTTATTGCAGTGTGATCATGTTCAATAGAAAATGTAACGTTCTTATCAAAATCAGTACTATTCGCAGAATTATTGTCATTAATGATATTATCTACAATGCTATCATTTCCATTATTATCGGCATTATTATTTGTATAATTATCAGTATTACCAATAATTATCGTTTTAAATCCGTTATTAGAATCAACGTGTTTTATAAGATAATTGACGTTACTTTGATCATTTGCATTGTGGCCTTGTCCATTATCAAGAAAAGATACTACATTATTGTCAAAATCAATAGCATTACTTAAATTGTTAGTATTAGTATTCTTTTTAGTATAATTCATATTGATAATGCAGGCATTTTGTGGTATTTCTGTAGTTTCTACAAAAAAAGTATAATTACTGTAAAAAATAGAAATGCAATATATTGCATGTAGTTTTAAAATTATAATACTGTAATACTTACTATTGTTATTATTGACAATTAATTTTATGTTTTCCAGAGCAATACGTGGATTATTTGTATTTAAACTTTTAGCAATTGCAAGAAGATCATTTTTATTTTCTGTAACAATAAATATAGTAATTTTAATTATTTATATATAAATAACCACAGAATTTAACGCGTTGATGCAAGAATTTAACTGAAAAGAAAATTAAAAAGCAGTGCTAAGTAAAAACTTTAGATTTTTACGACTTAAGTTAATATTAATCTGTTAAAAATCGAATAAAAAGGTTACGTGCTGTTGTGCTCAATATTAACAATATTATTGCTATGATAACATTTTATATTATTTTAAATAAATATAGAATGGTGATACTTACTATTCTGTGCAATTGTACGCATAATACATGTTTTTTTACGATTCCTAACTGGACATTTTACGCGTCTTTTCTTGTGTTTTATATTTACATGATATTTATGATAATTACAAAAAAATAATATATATCGTGACATTTTTCACTTAATGTGATGCAATCGCGTACAAACGAAACGAAACGATTTTCATTAAATGTAAACCGAAATCTTATATATATTACGCAATATCTTATGCAATATTGCTAATAAATATGGAAGGTGCCGGTCCCGCCAGATTATAAGTTTGTTCGCATAGCATACTTTCTCCAACTGAAAAGTAAATGAAAAAGCGGTGCTGTATAAAAAATTTGAATTTTTACGACTTATATTAATATTAACCTGTTAAAAATCAAACAAAAAATATGTATATAATGTATATATAATATAAATAATGTATATATAATAAATAATGTATATATAATGTAAATATTGTATATATAATGTAAATAATGTATATATAATGTAAATAGCGTATATATATTGTAAATATTGTAAATAATGTATTCTATTGTTCTGTTTATAGATATACCATAATCTTATTGTACTAATTTTAAAGTTTTCTGTAGCATTTTGCTTTTCTATATCATTAGCTTTTATGCATTCAGTTATTAACAAATTACCAATTTGTTTTAAATATGTCCCAATATTTGACGCAACTGATGGTGCACCATATTTTTTATTAATATCATCAAAATGAGCTACTTTATTTACTGCTTTCAGACAATCATCATATATGGAAGGATTATATATATCAGAAAACTCTGTTATGTTAGAGTTATATTCTTTCACTGCGATAAGAAACCTTCCTTATAATCGAAGTTTAGCACGTATCATATCTTGTTGGTGTTGATGATTGTACTTGATACATAATTTGTTCGCAAATGTTATTATTAATTTATCATATTTAATACTTTGTGTAACATCATCTTCCCTCAAAACTGGGAATAAAACTTTTCTTACTGTCTCACTTGCACATTCATGAATTCTGCCCATCACAGCACGTCCTAAAACTTGTACATTTCTGCCTTTGGATTCTCCTACACATTCTTTAAAATGATGCCTGATATTATTTTTAGTGAACCATCCTTTACACTTTGCGCAACTTATAAAATCTTGTACTTTTTTGCAACTATTTTTGGCAGGCCTTCGACAAACAATTAATTCTCCCGTATTTAAGGAAGGATCCGTATTGTGTATGAAATTCCCTTTCTTTCTAATAGACTCTATAATTTGTTTTCTT